CAGCGATGGCGGCCGGGACGGGCCGCGGGGCGGGGCCTGAGCGTTGGGGGCGGGGCCTGTGTGCGGGGGCGGGGCCAGAGGCACGGGGTGGGCGTGGCACCGCGCTGGGGACAGCGGTGTCACCGTCACGGGGTCACACAGCGCGGGTGGCGACACGGCGGGGCACAGCAGTGTCACTGCCATAGGGCTACACAGCTCTGATGGTGGCACGTGGTGGCACAGCAGCGTCGCTGCCATAGGGCTACTGAGCTGTGGCGGTGGCAAAGGGGTGGCACAGCAGTGGTGGTGACATGGGGTGGCACAATGGCACAGTGGTATCAATGTCGCTTGGGTTACACAGCTCTGGTGGTGACGTTGGGCAGCACAGCGGTGTCACTCTCATTGCGTCACACAGCTCTGATTGTGCCATGGGGTGGCACGACGGTGGTGGTGACACAGCAGTGTCACTGCCGTAGGGTTACACGGCTGTGGTAGTGCCACGGGTGACACAGCAGTGGCAATAACACGGAGTGGCGCAGCTGTGATGGTGTCATCTGGTGGCACAGCAGTGTCACTGCCACTGGGTTACACAGCTCTGGTGGTGGTGACATGAAGTGGTGGTGCCCCTTTTGTGACCCTGTTCCTGCTGCTGATCCCTCTCCAGCCGGTGCACACGTGCCGAGGTGGTGCACAGCATCCATGTCCCCCAGGGAGTGTGGCAGCAGGGGACAGCCCCACCACTGAACCCCTCCACCTGTCCTCCACACCACTGGCACCCACCCAACTCCCCCATGATCATCCTCCCAGGCCCTGCTGGTGGCCTGACTTGCCACCACTTCCAGCTGTGGGGTGTTAGTACACTGGTGTCTGCCCCAGCAGGGCGACCTCGTGTCTCCTCCTGCTGCTGCTCCCACATTTTGGGGCCCCTGACAGTGCTGGGCTCACCGGAGATGCAAGTGGCACCACACACACAGCTGGGCTCTGCAGGCTGTCCTGGCTCAACGCTGGCCAGGATGTCCCCATGATGGGGTGAATGTCCCCAGGGGCAGCAGGGGGGCAGGGGGATGAGCTGCTCTGGTTGCATCACCCACCACAGCCCAGCACCCCCGGGGGCAGCAGGTTTGGCTGTGGGGTCAGCAGAGCCTCACGTGCTGCACACCCACACCCCTGCACACCCACACCCCTGCACACCCACACCCCTGCACACTCACACCCTGCACACTCACACCCTGCACACTCACACCCTCCACACCCACACCCTCCACGTTTAACCAGCTGTGCCACAGCCAGAGTCGCACAGGACCCAGTGACATGGCCCCCGTGTGTCACCCACCACTCCCCGGCCGGTGCTGGCAGTTCCCAGCCCAAACCAAACACGTGCCTGGGTTGGTGGTGGGAGAAGGTGGAGCCGAGGAGGAGCCTCCCCGTCCCCCCGTATATTAAATGCCCTCCCAGACTCGGGCTCTCTCTGCTGCTGTCACATCGCCAGGTCACAAAAATGGTGAGAGGGCAGGAGATGGGAATTCAATTAAACATTCAGGGCTCCGTGGTGTGGGACGTGTCGGGAGCCTTAATCTCTGCTTGAACTGGGACTTTTCAGTGACTGTACTGGAAGCAGAGCTGCTCCTTACTCCCTGACCTTTGGATTCAGCTCCCTGGGGGCTGCAGTACCTGATCTGTTAACGTCTCTCTTTTCTGATTCTCTTTCAGACGTCTTACACAGACAAGGGAGAAAAGGTAAGAGCCGAGTGGTGCCCCTGTCCTGCCCCACTGCCTGGCGTGTTAGTGCAGATTATACCATTCGTTACTCTTTGATTACCTGGTAAAATCAGAAGTAAAACTGCTCTGGCTGGGCCTCACAAGCTCCTCATTGTAAATTAGTATTAATAATTGAATTTTTTTTGTTTCCTTCTTGTTTGGGAGGAGAGTGACAAATGGGAGATGATGGGTATTTCTCAGTCAAATCAAAGCTTACGCAGAATCCTCATTTCAACGTTTATTTCCAAATGCTGCACCTTTTCATTGCCTTTTCCCCTTTAAAGTGCTTCCAGCCCCTGGTGACCATCATGGCTGGGTAGTGGTGGGGAGCAGAGCAAAGGGGGATCTGTCCTGGCGCTGGTGGTTGTTTAAGAGCTTTTGGAGCAGAATCAATCTTTGACACAGAGGGGTTCATGGGTGGGCAGCCCACTGGGATGGCCACTTGTGGGGAGCACTGGGAGAACTGGGACCGTGGCTGTTGCTCCAGGCGAGCTGGGGCTTTGTACCTTCTAACCTGCAGCACAGGATCCTGTGGGACTTGACTGTAAAGCACTTTGGAAAAAGGCTGTTTCAGGGTTGTTCCATTCAGTTAATTCAGAGGCATTTGCAGGAGACACATCTGTAGGGTCTCAGCTGCCGCTTCTCCCTGCTCTGGAGCCAGGCAGCGCTTGGGGAAGGCAGCAGCAGCGGCAGCAGCAGCAGCAGCAGCAGCTCTCAGCTCTGTTTTCCCTTCCCTTTAGCACGCACGAGGCCGCTTCATCCACTTCCACTCCATCACCTTCTGGGTCGGCAATGCCAAGCAGGTGAGAGGCGGTGGCTGCCGGGCACGTGTGGTGGGGGCACCTGCCCGGCCGGGACGGGGCGGGCGCTCCGGTATTGGCTGTCGGGGGGGCGGATCGTCCCAGCAGCCCCTCGGGCCGGGATGTGCCGTTGTCCCGGGCCAGTCCCTGGCTCAGCGCCTGTGCCCGGGGCCCGTGGCCTTGGTGGCCCTTGCGCAAGGCGAGGGGCGGCTGCCGGGGGTGTGCGGGGCAGGACCTGGGATGTGCAAACCGGCACACGTGGCCGGGCTGGGCCTGCAGGCATGAGAGCCCACAGAGCTGTTCGGCCTTGTGGCGAGTTCGAAATCCCTCTGCTTCAAACCTGAACTGCGTTTCACCCAACCTTGCACAACAGGAGATGAGTAGAAATGTTTCCCACTTGGTGATGGCTCTGCTCTTGGTTGAGTTGGGTTGAGCCTTGGGCTCAAGAGGCTCTGGAGGCAGCACTTCCCCCTGAATTTGGGGGTTTTCCTCGGTTTGGGCCCTTTCTTGCTTCAGCTTGTTTCCCTTGGGCTGCTGGAGGGACAGAGAGAGACTGGGCTGGTCCTGCACACACACACACACACACACACGTGCACATGTGTGACCTGCACATGTGTGACCTTCACACGCTGCAGTTGCTGTTCCCCATGGGCTGTTGGCACTGCCCTGGCCATGGGGAGCCCTGTGGGAACTGGGGAGCACCAGTGCCACAGCTTCACCTGAGGTGGCTCCCACCTGCCCACAGGCTGCATCCTACTACTGCAACAAGCTGGGGTTTGAGGAGCTGGCATACCGGGGGCTGGAGACCGGCAGCAGGGAGGTGGTGTCACATGTCATCAAGCAGGACAAGGTAAGGGGGCTGGTACACCTGGCAGAGGTGCCACTGCCAGGATGGGAGAAGATGAGGCGGCGTTGGGCTCGTGGGTGCTGCCGAACCCTGTTTGCACCATGAAACCCATCACCTGTTGGACCTCAGCCCCAGGCTGGGGCTGCAGCCCCACCGCTGCGGCTCCATCCTCACCTCTCCTCCTCTTCCTCGCCAGATCATCTTTGTTCTCTCCTCCGCTCTCAACCCAGGCAATGAGGGTAGGTGTCCTGGGGGTGGGGATGGAGTGGGAAATGGCTGAGGGGGAAGCAAAGCAGCCCTGCTCACCTGGGGCTGCTCTTGCTCCGGGCAGAGATGGGGGAGCACCTGGTGAAACACGGCGATGGGGTGAAGGACGTCGCCTTCGAAGTGGAGGACTGTGACTTCATCGTGCAGGTAGGCAGCCCCTCCACTCCCTCCTGCACAGCCCCCTGAAATGGTGAGGGGAGGCGGGGAAGGGCCTGGAGATGTCTCCCCCCAGCCCAGGGGAGCTGTGGCAGGAGTGGGTCTCTCTCCTTCTGTCCAGAAAGCCAAGGAGCGTGGAGCTGTGGTGGTGAAGGAGCCCTGGGTGGAGCAGGACAAGTTTGGGAAGGTGAAGTTCGCGGTGATCCAGACGGTAAGCGGCAAGGGAGAGTGGGGCCCACGGAGCAGGCTGGACCTGAGAGGTCCCAAAATAAACAAGGCCACCACACAACCACTGTCCCCCCTTGCAGTACGGTGACACCACCCACACCTTGATAGAAAAGCTCGACTACAAGGGCCTGTTCCTACCCGGGTATCACCCGCCCCTCTTCAAGGACCCCCTGCTGGCCAAGCTGTGAGTACTTTCTAGAGGGTCCTGCCTGGCTCTTTGCCACCATGTGCTGGTGGGATGGATATCCCACTGAGGAGCTGGACAGGTCCCCACTGCCTTGCCCTGGAGCCCCTCATGCCGTGGGGTGCCCCTAAGATGGGCTGAGAAACCCCCCCGGCTTCCCCCCACAGACCGAGTGGCAAGCTCAGCTTTGTTGACCACGTCGTGGGGAACCAGCCTGACCTCCAGATGGTCCCAGTGGCGGACTGGTAAGAGTAGAGAGGGCTGGTGGGAGGTGGGATGGAGCGACAGCACCGCTCTGCTGCTCTCACCACTTCCAGGGGGTGGCTGAGGCTTATTCAGCCAGAGGGAGCTTCGTTAGTGCAGGGATGGGGCAAGAGGTTGATTGTGCCCTTTGTGGCC